GAGAAATAGCAAAAAGACAAAACTTATTGAGAGCTACAAGGGACAGGAAGATGTGGAGGGCTATGATCGCCTACGTCCTAAAGTTTTCATTCTTCAGAAAATGTTTCATATTTTACTATTCCCGGCGTAATGCGCCATTAAGTCATTATAATTTTCTCTCTTTTGCTCTCTCCCTCCTCTCCCCTTCTCACTCTTTCTCTCTCTCTCTCTCTCTATATATATATATATATATAAATAAAACCTAGTTTAGGATTGGTGTATATGGAATAAATTCCAATAACCAAAAAATATAATTTTTAAATGAGTGCTCAATACAGAGTAGAGCAAATATAATTTATTCGAAAATTATGACATACATATTTTATAAAATCACTACAAAAATTCTTCTTGGTGTCTTAACAAGTGATGGTGTTGAATGTTGAATATATATATATATATATATATATATATATATATATATATATATTATATATATATATATATATATATATATATATATATATATATATATATATATATATATATATATATATATATATATATATATTTGTCTATTTAGGCAGCAATCCTTCTTTCATTCACATTTCATTGAATACGACAGACAAGGTGCTTTGATTTAATTTTTTATACAATTTCTCATGCGAGCTAATAATTTTTTTTTTCTTTTCGGATGATAAATTATATAAAACTGTCCGAATGTTCTTTTTATCCGAGTGCTTTCGGCTATACATTTAGCCATTTTCAAGGATTATATATTTTAACTATTGAATAAGAAATAGTTTGTTGTATGTATGTTTTATAAAATGTTTTCATTTTTTCAAAACACGGTCAAGATATTTTGTCCATGTTCAAAGTTAATATTATTAAGTGTTGTTTTTTTTGTTTTTATTAATGAGGCTTCCATTATTTTTAGCCCTTTTTTGCATGTAGATGATGCTATTATATTAGTGTTGTCAACAATATGTTACAAATAGTGTCCGGTATGTATCCATGAATACTTAAATGAGATCTGATTGAGCTATGGTCAGAAAGGTGTAGAGTGAGTCTGCGTGTCAAACATGTTGTAGTGTGACCTATATAATTATTTACGAATTTTGATTGATACATTTTTCAATTATGGGCATTATATGTATATATATTTAATATATTCTTATCAAGTGATGTGGTGTTGAATGTTGAATATATATATATATATATATATATATATATATATATATATATATATATATATATTATATTATATAATAATATATACCCATCACATGAACCATTGCCAATGGTCAACCCTAAATGAGAAATTGTCTCAGATTCAATCATAACATTGCTTTTTCCTCCTTTGAAAATAAATTTGCAGGGCCATATCATCTTTAGAGGAAGAAAACTGCAACGCTATGTCATTGAGCCCAGGCCGGACATTCAGATGCAACTACTGCGACCGTGTATATTTGTCCCGCATTGGACTTATTATCAGTCACAAACATACTCCCTCTTGATCTTCGATTTGCGAAGCGAAGCCATGCATAATATGATGAAATATAGTTTGAAGTGTTATACTATATCTATGTGTAAAAGTTCTCAATATCAGGGATAGAGCGTATGTAAATATAAGTATGAAAATGGACACTGAAGTCAACACACAGCGGTGACGGTTTCATGCATATACACAATCCTCATGCAATATGCCTTGTTTATATCTCGACTATTTATATATACAGGTCAATAATGCATTGTGAGTGGTCATTTGTATTATTCTAACGGTTATTTTGGTGGGTAATAACGGTTATGTTTCGAATAATTCTAAGGGCAATTGAGTTTTTTTTTAATTGTGGATGCAGGTGCAGATTTCTTTCCTATTTATTGTGCTGTTTCTTAATTTTTAAAAATTTATTATGGATTATTTTATTATTAGTTGTTATTATTACATATACTTGAGATTATGAGTGTGTTCGTGGTTTGTTTATTATTTACTTAATTTATTTAATTATTTATTGATTAAGATTAAATTGTTTTACTTTTCTAACATATATTTTCTATTTTTGTTTATTCTTCTTTTCAAATGACAGAATGAAACAATCTGTTTTGTGTTGACTTTGCTATGTTTACCTATATATATATATATATATATATATATATATATTCCTATTATAGTTTTAAGGTGTTATATATTTATGGATAAAATGCGTAATATCAGAGACAGAGCGTATTATTAATATAAATATAAAACAATTTCATTGAAGTCAACACTCAGAGGCGAAAGGCTGTTTCATGGTAAAGAGGCACCAGTCAAAATTTTTCTAAATGAGACCATTACACTTTCGAGGTCTTTCATATATATATATATATATATATATATATATATATATATAATTCTATAATAAATATATAAAAAAGTGTTTATATTTATTTTATAAAGTGCCATTTATCCGACATATAGCTTTAAATGTAAATATAAAAGGATGAATATTTATTCGACACTTAGAGACGATAAAATTAAAATTTTCATGGTGTAAATTTTCGTCAGAAATTTCATCCTTTATTGCGTTTTTTTATGAAACAGAAAATCGCCTAACTGAAATGTATGATAAAATTCAATATTACTTTATATATATATATATATATATATATATATTTGTCTGTGTGTGTGGTTTATATATTTACTAAGGCAAAAAAAAAAAAATTTTGAGAGGAAGGAAAGAAAAAAAAGAGAATCAAATGAGACCCAAACGTGGATGATAAATGGGACACCCATCGACTAAGAGACAATGGATAAAGGATATTTTGATAAGTAAATAAATGGCGAAGAATGTCATTATAATGGCAGAAAAATTCTAATTTAAATAAATGAATCGTTGTGTTCTGGCGACAAGCTGTGTGTGTTATCGGGGATACATAAACAAACCGCTAATGCGGGAAAACATCTGATTAAGCAAACCACAGACGGACTAGCCAAATAAAAATTTGAAAATGTTATTTTGATAATTGACAAAAAAACAGGTGAACTACAGGGGCTTTGGATAGATATGAAAAATTAATAGTCAAAGCCGCACACGAGGTGGCGACTGACCGTTTTTTTTTTTTTTTCAAACATCTTTAGCTGCGATAATAAAACTATGTTATCAAAATGTTACCAAAGAATAAATGGAACCATGGAAATGTTTTTTTTCGAGGTGACGGACGATTGTGTTGTGTCAAATAGACCACCCATTCTGATAATTAGCGATAATCTGACTGACGAAGTCCAGGTGAGAACAAGAGTTATAACCACCACCGATCGCATTGTTCTATTTCATAGGCCAGAGAAAATGAGAACTGCGATTAAAAGAAAAAAAAATAAAAAAAAATAATTTTTTTTAAGCAAGATATTTTTTTTTCCTGAAAAAAGCCCGCGGGATCGTACACGCCCAGGCTGGACATCAATGGCCGAGTGGTGATCACGTGACGCAAGGAGGAAAATGTCGCCGCCCACCTAGAAATATGGGTATGAGAGGTTGCTACGAAGAAGTGGGAGGGAGTTCACGCCCTCTGAAGTATGGTTAGAAGGTGGGAGTAAGAGAAGGCTCCCAAAAATGGAAAGAAGTGGAAAATTCTAACCAAAAATAAGAGAAGTGCATATGTATTTAGAATTATCGAGGAACCCCTGGCGCCGACAAACCCACGCCGGTTTTGGTCGGCGTCCATATAAAAAAATCGCAGCGAGCGAAAATCAGAAAGTTCCCATTTTTTTAGAATTCCAGCAGAGAGTTCCAAGTTGAGTTCGGGAGAGATAGTTCCCAGAGTCAGTCTCCAGTGCTCAGTTGAAGCAAGCCTCGCATCATTGACCAAGATTCGCGCAATTTTCGGACTCATCTTCAACTCAAGAACAATTATTTTGAAGAGTTATTCTTAGATCCAGACCACCAAAATAAGTTTTTTCGATTTTCGCCCGAAGACACACCAAAAAAACCAATTTCTTAAAGAGCAAACAACTTGAAGTGTTAAAACTCGCCTAACGGAAAACAACGTGTCACAATCCATAGAACATTTCGGGAGAGAGACGCAGTCCTATGTATCCAACAACTAGACATAAAGTTTGTTATCCTTTTTTTGATACCTTTGAACTTTTGAGTTATCATTTTATTTTTTTTTTATACGTATTTGTGCGATACCACCCCCCCTTTGACCCAACTTGCATTACGGCCCCGACGACTGATTGATTTCGTCTGCCTAAGATCGATTCACAACGTGGGTAGGCGGACTGGAGATCAACGCAATACTTTACTTTGGTAACGAGGCTGATATCGAATCTAACCAGATTCCCATCCGAATCACCAAAAGGTTAGAACGTCACATTAGAGTGCCGCGTCCGATACCAAGCCAGTTGGTCGTCACAGGACGAGGCAACACGACTGACGCGACAGGAGGACGTCACGTTTGGAGCGGCGACACCCGAACGAAGCAGCGAGGAGCGAGCGAAGGCTGTGTTCAGGGTCATATATATATATATATATATATATATATATATATATATATATATAATGTATATTATAATATACATTTCTTCTCATCGGTAACAGAACACTGAGTTTCATGTACATTGAAAACTAGGCGCTGATTGAAATTAACCGTTGCATAATTTATATATTGATATTTTACCGTGTTGTAATGATAGTGGAGCAGTCCATTTATTTACGGGCGTGTAATAGGTAATAATAATAATAATAATAATATATATATATATATATATATATATATATTTACAAATTCATGAATTATTCACACAAAAAACAAATGCAAAGGTTAATGATTTAATTGGCGAGAAATCCATCGTCGCACACAATTCAAATAATATACAAAAACCTTCGAATCCGTTATGAATGAAAAGATCCTTGTTTCTATAAATTTCTGCTGCATTAGTTCTTATTTTTACTACAAGCTTTCGTCTGTTCCTACAGACATCTTCAGGTATAGAATAGATGTTGTTCTTGTTTTTTCTCTTAGTAATAAGAGGACAACGAAAATATATGTATTCTTTTTTCGTTTGCTTTTCTCTTTTTTTTTGTCTTCTTCATTCTGTTTTTTTTTATCCATGTTTTCGTTTTAATTTTCCTTCGTTTATCTTTGTCCTCTTTCCATCTACATCATCATTGTATTTCCTTCCCACTTCTTCTTCTTCTTCTTCTTCTTTATTTCTCTTATTTTCTGTATTTCTTTCAATTTTCAAGTTTTTCTCATTTAATTCTTTTTTTTTGTTTTCATTCTGGCTCTCCTTTCATTCTTTGCCTTCATTTTCGTTGATTTTTCCTCATTTTTTTATCCTTTTCTATTCATCATCATCATCATCATCATTATCATTATCATCATCATCATCTTCTTCTTCTTCTTCTGTTTATTTATCTTTTTTTCTCTTTTTTTATTTTCATTCCTTCTTTTCTTATTTTTCCGTTTCCTTTTTTATTGGTTTCCTTTTTTTTTTAATTCACTCTCTTTTTTCCTTTCCCCCTCTTCTTCCACGATCCTTCTTTTCTTCAGCTTACTCTATCCCTCTCTCTGTTGTCTCAAACTTCTTTTTCTTCTTTTTCCTTTTCTTCTTCATCTTCTTCTTCTTTTGCTTTCCCTTTAATTTTAATCTCTTTCATCTTTTTCTTGAATATTCTTAATTTCCTGATATACATTTTCGTTCATTCTTTTCTTGATTCCTACATCCTTTCTTTCTTTTTCTTGTTTGATGGTCATCATCTCTTTCTCTCTCTCTTTCTTTCTTTTTTCTTTAATAGTTTTCGTTCTTTCTTTTTCTAATTGCTTTCTTTCTTTTATAGTTTTGATTCTTTCTTACTGTATCTTTCTTTTTATACAGTGTAACCCGGATATAAGAGAGTTGTCGGGACCAGAGAAGAAGTCTCTTATATCCGGGTTTGGTCTATTTTGTTTAGGTAAGTATGGGCTCAAATTTGGGACCAGAGAAAATCTCTCTTATATCCGGGTTACACTTTGTGTGTGTGTGTGTATATATATATATATATATATATATATATATATATATAGTGTAACCCGGATATAAGAGAGTTGTCGGGACCGGAGAAAAGTCTCTTATATCCGGGTTTTATCTTATATCCGGGTTTGGTCTATTTTGTTTAGGTAAGTATGGGCTCTAATTTGGGACCAGAGAAAATCTCTTTATATCCGAGTTTCTCTTATATCCGGGTTTGGTCTATTTTGTTTAGGTAAGTATGGGCTCAAATTTGGGACCAGAAAATCTCTTTATATCCGGGTTACACTTTGTGTGTGTGTGTGTATATATATATATATATATATATATATATATATATATATATATATAGTGTAACCTGGATATAAGAGAGTTGTCGGGACCGGAGAAGAAGTCTCTTATATCCGGATTTGGTCTATTTTGTTTAGGTAAAACATGGGCTCAAAATTTGGGACCAGAGAAAATCTCTTATATCCGGGTTACACTTTATGTGTGTGTGTGTATATATATATATATATATATATATATATATATAGTGTAACCTGATATAAGAGAGTTGTCAAACCGGAAGTCTCTTATATCCGGATTTGGTCTATTTTGTTTAGGTAAGTATGGGCTCAAATTTGGGACCAGAGAAAATCTCTTATATCCGGGTTACACTTTGTGTGTGTGTGTATATATATATATATATATATATATATATATATATATATATATATATAGAGTAACCTATATAAGAGAGTTGTCGTGACCGGAGAAGAAGTCTCTTATATCCGGATTTGGTCTATTTTGTTTATATATGGGCTCAAATTTGGGACCAGAGAAAATCTCTCTTATATCCGGGTTTACACTTTTTGTGTGTGTATATATATATATATATATATATATATATATATATATATATATAGTGTAACCCGGATATAAGAGAGTTATTCATTCTTAGAGAAGAAGTCTCTTATATCCGGATTTGGTCTATTTTGTTTAGGTAAGTATGGGCTCAAATTTGGGACCAGAGAAAATTTCTTATATCCGGGTTACACTTTGTGTGTTCTATATATATATATATATATATATATATATATATATATATATATATATAGTGTAACCCGGATATATTGTCGGGACCGAGAAGACGTCTCTTATATCCGGATTTGGTCTATTTTGTTTAGGTAAGTATGGGCTCAAATTTGGGACCAGAGAAAAACTCTCTTATATCCGGGTTTCTCTTATATCCGGGTCTCTTATATCCGGGTTACACTGTATTTTCATTCTTTCACTCTCATATTTTCATTCTCTCTCTCTCTCTCATATTTTCATTCTTTCACTCTCTCTCATATTTTCATTCTTTCACTCTCTCTCATATTTTCATTCTTTCACTCTCTCTCATATTTTCATTCTCTCTCTCTCTCTCATATTTTCATTCTCTCTCTCTCTCTATTTTTCATTCTTTCATCTCTCTCATATTTTCATTCTTTCTCTCTCTCTCTCTTCTCTCTCTTATTTTCATTCTTTCTCTCATACAGTGTAACCCTTATATGAGTTGTATCGAAGAGGGACCGGAGAAGAAGTCTCTTATATCCGGGTTTGGTCTATTTTGTTTAGGTAAGTATGGGCTCTAATTTGGGACCAGAGAAAATCTCTCTTATATCCGGGTTTCTCTTATATCCGGGTCTCTTATATCCGGGTTACACTGTAATAGCTTTCCTTTTTTTCTTTTTTTTTTTTTTTTTTTTTACAAAATATAGCTTTGCGTCTTTCTTTCACTCTTGAATTCTTTTTAACCTTGCTTTTTTTCTTTCTACCTTTTTTTAGCTTTGATTTTTTCTTTTTCTCTTTCTTTCTTGTTTTTTTTTTTTTTACAAAACTATCGCTTTGCTTCTTTTATAGATTTGAATTCTTTCTTTTGTGAGGTTTCAATGACTTCTTCAACCCTTATGCGAACAAAACTAAATATACTATGCCGGTCTTGACAGGGTAATGCTTTATACACCCCGTCTAACCTTTCACACTTGACATTATGCCAATGTGATTGCACTTATCATTATCCTCCCCCAAGGAAAAAGTAATAATTCGACAATACAATTGTACGCCACCCACTCAACAAATGCCACTTCCACACAACTCTATAAGGCAAATATTTTCAAAAGATCAAACATGAAGGAGAAGACATTCTTAGCAACAGGTTGACTTCTAAAATTATTTCTGAAAGCATTGAGTCATGAGACTTAAAAATGAATATTTTCGAGGTAAAAGCTTCTGAATATATATATATATATATATATATATATATATATATATATATATATACGTATTCAGAAGTCTATTTGCGCAAAATAAATATATTTTATACACACACACACACACACACACACACACACACACACATATATATATATATATATATATATATATATATATATATATATATATATAAGCCTTTTTTATATATATGCAAGTGTCTGTGGGTGGATGTATGTGTGTTTGCCTCTGTGTGTTCACGTGTGTAGCTGTGTGCATGAATGCGTCTATACGTGTGCGTAGATAAATGTATGTGCGTGGATCTGCATGTACTTTTGTGTCTATGTCTGTGTGCGCGAACGTACGCCTCTGCGTGTGTCGGTGTGCGCATAAATGTTTTTATATGTGTATGCTCGCGCGTGCCCACGTTCGCCTGTGGGAATGTGTGTCCATGTATGCGTGTGCGTACGCGCGTGTGTAGATGTGCTCATGAATGCGTGGCTATATGTGTGTTTGTGCGCATTATGTGTGTGTGTGTATCTGCGTGTGTAAGAATTTGACACACGAAAGATATATATCAAAATAATAGAAGGTAATTGAATTGAAAATGTAAAAATCCTATGAAACGGGTTTCGAACGTTAAAAGGACTTCTTCTGATTAAATAGTGTTTTGCTGTCGATGGAGTCAGACATAGGTAGAGGGAAGGAACGAAATGCAACAACCATCGGTAGAGGTTACAAAGAGGCAGAGTTTATGAGAATATGTCGGCTCGGGGCTTTACCATCTGATTCTTCTGGGAGGATTGCCAGAGGAGGAGAAGTGGTGTTTTCCCACCTGATCCTTCTGGGAAGATTGCCAGAGGAGAAGAAGTGGGGCTTTACCATCTGATTCTTCTGGGAGGATTGCCAGAGGAGGTGAAGTGGTGTTTTCCCACCTGATCCTTCTGGGAAGATTGCCAGAGGAGAAGAAGTGGGGCTTTACCACCTGATTCTTCTGGGAGGATTGTCAGAGGAGGAGAAGTGGTGTTTTCCAGATCCTTCTGGGAAGATTGCCAGAGGAGAAGTGGGGCTTTACCACCTGATTCTTCTGGGAGGATTGCCAGAGGAGGAGAAGTGGTGTTTTCCCACCTGATCCTTCTGGGAAGATTGCCAGAGGAGAAGAAGTGGGGATTTACCATCTGATTCTTCTGGGAGGATTGTTGTCAGAGGAGGAGAAGTTCTGATCCTTCTGGGAAGATTGCCAGAGGAGAAGAAGTGGGGCTTTACCACCTGATTCTTCTGGGAGGATTGTCAGAGGAGGAGAAGTTGGTGTTTTCCCACCTGATCCTTCTGGGAAGATTGCCAGAGGAGAAGAAGAACCATCTGATTCTTCTGGGATGATTGCCAGAGGAGGAGAAATGATGTTTTCCCACCTGATCCTTCTTCAGGAAGATGGTTGAGAAGAAGGGGGCTTTTCCACCATCCCTGATTCTTCTGGGAGGATTGCCAGAGGAGGATTGAAGTGGTGTTTTCCACCTGATCCTTCTGGGAAGATTGCCAGAGGAGAAGAAGTGGGGCTTTACCATCTGATTCTTCTGGGAGGATTGCCAGAGGAGGAGAAGTGGTGTTTTCCCACCTGATCCTTCTGGGAAGATTGCCAGAGGAGAAGAAGTGGGGCTTTACCATCTGATTCTTCTGGGAGGATTGCCAGAGGAGGAGAAGTGGTGTTTTCCCACCTGATCCTTCTGGGAAGATTGCCAGAGGAGGAAGGAAGAAGGGGCTTTACCATCTGATTCTTCTGGGAGGATTGCCAGAGGAGGAGAAGTGGTGTTTTCCACCTGATCCTTTTGGAAGATTGCCAGAGGAGAAGAAGTGGGGGCTTTACCATCTGATTCTTCTGGGAGGATTGCCAGAGGAGGAGAAGTGGTGTTTCCCTGATCCTTCTGGGAAGATTGCCAGAGGAGAAGAAGTGGGGCTTTACCATCTGATTCTTCTGGGAGGATTGCCAGAGGAGGAGAAGTGGTGGCTTCCCACCTGATCCTTCTGGGAAGATTGGAGGAGGAGAAGTGGGGCTTTTTTACCACCTGATTCTTCTGGGAAGATTGCCAGAGGAGAAGAAGTGGTGTTTCCACCTGATCCTTCTGGGAAGATTCCCAGAAGATTGGAGAAAGAAGGCTTTACCATCTGATTCTTCTGGGAGGATTGTCAGAGGAGGAGAAGTGGTGTTTTCCCACCTGATCCTTCTGGGAAGATTGCCAGAGGAGAAGAAGTGGGGCTTTACCACCTGATTCTTCTGGGAGGATTGCTGAGGAGAAGTGAAGATCCTTCTGGGAAGATTGCCAGAGGAGGAGAAGAAGGGCTTTACCATCTGATTCTTCTGGGAGGATTGCCAGAGGAGGAGGAAGTGGTGTTTTCCCATCTGATCCTTCTGGGAAGGGAGGAGAAGAAGGGGGGCTTACCATCTGATTCTTCTGGGAGAGGATTGTCAGAGGAGAAGTGGTGTTTTTTGCCCCACCTGATCCTTCTGGGAAGATTGCCAGAGGAGAAGAAGTGGGGCTTTACCATCTGATTCTTCTGGGAGGATTGGGAGGAGAAGGTTTTTCACCTGATCCTTCTGGGAAGATTGCCAAGGAGAAGAAGGGGGCTTTACCATCTGATTCTTCCACCTGATCCTTCTGGGAAGATTGCCAGAGGAGAAGAAGTGGGGCTTTTTCCATCTGATTCTTCTGGGAGGATTGCCAGAGGAGGAGAAGTGGTGTTTTCCCCCCTGATCCTTCTGGGAAGATTGCCAGAGGAGAAGAAGGGGCTTTACCATCTGATTCTTCTGGGAGGATTGGAGGAGGAGAAGTGGTGTTTTCCCCACCTGATCCTTCTGGGAAGATTGGGAGAAGAAGTGGGGCCCATCTGATTCTTCTGGGAGGATTGCCAGAGGGAGGAGAAGTGGTGTTTTCCCACCTGATCCTTCTGGGAAGATTGCCAGAGGAGAAGAAGTGGGCTTTACCATCTGATTCTTCTGGGAGGATTGTGAGGAGGAGAAGTGGTGTTTTCCCTGATCCTTCTGGGAAGATTGCCAGAGGAGAAGAAGTGGGGCTTTACCATCTGATTCTTCTGGGAGGATTGCCAGAGGAGGAGAAGTGTTTTTCCCACCTGATCCTTCTGGGAAGATTGCCAGGGAGAAGAAGTGGGGCTTTACCATCTGATTCTTCTGGGAGGATTGCCAGAGGAGGAGAAGTGGTTTTTCCACCTGATCCTTCTGGGAAGATTGCCAGAGGAAGAAGAAGGGCTGGGAGAAGATTGTTTTCCCATCTGATTCTTCTGGGAGGATTGCCAGAGGAGGAGAAGTGGTGTTTTCCATCTGATCCTTCTGGGAAGATTGCCAGAGGAGAAGAAGTTCCATCCCTTTCTTCTGGGAGGCCAGAGGAGGAGAAGTGGGGTTTTCCCACCTGATCCTTCTTGGGAAGATTGGAGGAGAAGTGGCGGCTTTCCCATCTGATCCTTCTGGGAAGATTGCCCCACCTGATCCTTCTGGGAAGATTGCCAGAGGAGAAGAAGTGGGGCTTTACCATCTGATTCTTCTGGGATGATTGCCAGAGGAGGAGAAGTGGTGTTTTCCCACCTGATCCTTCTGGGAAGATTGCCAGAGGAGAAGTGAGGGGGCTTTACCATCTGATTCTTCTGGGGATTGCCAGAGGAGGAGAAGTGGTGTTTCCCACCCTGATCCTTTGGAAGATTGCCAGAGGAGAAGAAGGGGGCTTTACCATCTGATTCTTCTGGGAGGATTGCCAGAGGAGGAGAAGTGGTGTTTTCCCACCTGATCCTTCTGGGAAGATTGCCAGAGGAGGAAAGAAGGGGGCTTTTACCATCTGATTCTTCTGGGAGGATTGTCAGAGGAGGAGAAGGGTGTTTTCCCACCTGATCCTTCTGGGAAGATTGCCAGAGGAGAAGAAGGGGGCTTTACCATCTGATTCTTCAGGAAGGATTGCCAGAGGAGGAGAAGTGGTGTTTTCCTGATCCTTTCTGGGAAGATTGCCATCCTTCTGGGAGGAGGAGAATTGCCAGGGGAGAGGATTTTACCATCTGATTCTTCTGGGAGGATTGGAGGAGGAGAAGTGGTGTTTTCCACCTGATCCTTCTGGGAAGATTGCCAGAGGAGAAGAAGAAGTGGGGCTTTACCATCTGATTCTTCTGGGAGGATTGCCAGAGGAGGAGAAGTGGTGTTTTCCCCACCTGATCCTTCTGGGAAGATTGCCAGAGGAGAAGAAGTGGGGCTTTACCATCTGATTCTTCTGGGAGGATTGCCAGAGGGGAGGAGAAGTGGTGTTTTCCCACCTGATCCTTCTGGGAAGATTGCCAGAGGAAGAAGTGGGGCTTTACCATCTGATTCTTCTGGGAGGATTGTCAGAGGAGGAGAAGTGGTGTTTCCCCCTGATCCTTCTGGGAAGATTGCCAGAGGAGAAGAAGTGGGGCTTTACCATCTGGGAAGGATTGCCATCTGGGAAGATCTTCAGGGAGAAGATTTTACCAGAGGGAGGAGAAGGAGGAGAAGTGTTTTCCCACCTGATCCTTCTGGGAAGATTGCCAGAGGAGGAAGAAGTGGGGTTTTCCCCATCTGATTCTTCTGGGAGGATTGCCAGAGGAGGAGAAGTGGTGTTTTCCCACCTGATCCTTCTGGGAAGATTCCAGAGGAGAAGTGGGGCTTACCATCTGATTCTTCTGGGAGGATTGCCAGAGGAGGAGAAGTGGTGTTTTCCCACCTGATCCTTCTGGGAAGATTGCCAGAGGAGAAGAAGTGGGGCTTTACCATCTGATTCTTCTTCTGGGATCCTTCTGGGAAGATTGCCAGAGGAGAAGAAGGGGCTTTTACCATCTGATTCTTCTGGGAGGATTGCCAGGAGGAAGAAGTGGTGTTTTCCCACCTGATCCTTTTGGGAAGATTGCAGAGGAGAAGAAGTGGGGGCTTTACCATCTGATTCTTCTGGGAGGATTGCCAGAGGAGGAGAAGTGGTTTTCCCCAGAATCCTTCTGGGAAGATTGCCAGAGGAGAAGAAGTGGGGCTTTACCATCTGATTCTTCTGGGAGGATTGCCAGAGGAGGAGAAGTGGTGTTTTCCCACCTGATCCTTCTGGGAAGATTGCCAGAGGAGAAGAAGTGGGGCTTTACCATCTGATTCTTCAGGGAGGATTGCCAGAGGAGGAGAAGTGGTGTTTTCCCACCTGATCCTTTTGGGAAGATTGCCAGAGGAGAAGAAGTGGGGCTTTACCATCTGATTCTTCTGGGAGGATTGCCAGAGGAGGAGAAGTGGTGTTTTCCCACCTGATCCTTCTGGGAAGATTGCCAGAGGAGAAGAAGGGGCTTACCATCTGATTCTTCTGGGATGATTGGAGAAGGAGAAGTGGTGTTTTCCCCACCCTGATCCTTCTGGGAAGATTGCCATCTGATTCTTCTGGGAGGATTGCCAGGGAGGAGAAGTTGTTTTCCCACCTGATCCTTTTGGGAAGGCCAGAGGAGAAGGTGGGGCTTTTTCCCTTCTGGGAGGATTGCCTGAGGAGAAGTCCTTGATCCTTCTGGGAAGATTGCCAGAGGAGAAGAAGATCTGATTCTTCTGGGAGGATTGTCTTTTTTCCATCCTTCTGGGAAGATTCTTCTGGAGGAAGGGGGCTTTACCATCTGATTCTTCAGGAGATTGCCAGAGGAGGAGAAGTGGTGTTTTCCCACCTGATCCTTCTGGGAAGATTGCCAGAGGAGAAGAAGTGGGGCTTTACCATCTGATTCTTCTGGGAGGATTGCCAGAGGAGGAGAAGTGGTGTTTCCCACCTGATCCTTCTGGGAAGATTGCCAGAGGAGAAGAAGTGGGGCTTACCATCTGATTCTTCTGGGAGGATTGTCAGAGGAGGAGAAGAAGGGCTTTTCCTGATTCTTCCCCAGAGAAGGAGAAGGCGATCCTTCTGGGAAGATTGCAGAGGAGAAGAAGTGGGGCTTTACCATCTGATTCTTCAGGAGGATTGCCAGAGGAGGAGAAGTGATGTTTTCCCACCTGATCCTTCTGGGAAGATTGCCAGAGGAGAAGAAGTGGGGCTTCTGATTCTTCTGGGAGCTTGCCAGGGAGGAGAAGTTGATCCTTCTGGGAAAATTGAGGAGGAGAAGAAGGGGGCTGATTTTCTGGGAGGATTGCCAGAGGAGGAGAAGAAGTGTTTTCCCACCTGATCCTTCTGGGAAGATTGCCAGAGGAGAAGAAGTGGGGCTTTTACCATCTGATTCTTCTGGGAGGATTGCCAGAGGAGGAGAAGTGGTGTTTTCCCACCTGATCCTTCTGGGAAGATTGCCAGAAGAGAAGAAGTGGGGGCTTTACCATCTGATTCTTCAGGGAGGATTGAGAAGGAGAAGTGGTGTTTTCCCCTGATCCTTCTGGGAAGATTGCCAGAGGAGAAGAAGTGGGGCTTTACCATCTGATTCTTCAGGGAGGATTGCCAGAGGAGGAGAAGTGGTGTTTTCCACCTGATCCTTCTGGGAAGATTGCCAGAGGAGAAGAAGTGGGGCTTTACCATCTGATTCTTCTGGGAGGATTGCCAGAGGAGGAGAAGTGGTGTTTTCCCACCTGATCCTTCTGGGAAGATTGCTGAGGAGAAGAAGTGGGGCTTTACCATCTGATTTTTCTGGAGGATTGCCAGAGAAGGAGAAGTGGGGTTTTCCCACCTGATCCTTCTGGGAAGATTGCCAGAGGAGAAGAAGGGGGCTTTACCATCTGATTCTTCTGGGAGGATTGCCAGAGGAGGAGAAGTGGTGTTTTCCCCACCTGATCCTTCTGGGAAGATTGCCAGAAGAGAAGAAGTGGGCTTTACCATCTGATTCTTCTGGGAGGATTGCCAGAGAAGGAGAAGTGGTGTTTTCCCACCTGATCTTTCTGGGAAGATTGCCAGAGGAGAAGAAGTGGGGCTTTACCATCTGATTCTTCAGGGAGCATTGCCAGAGGAGGAGAAGTGTTGTTTTCCCACCTGATTCTTCTGGGAAAATTGCCAGAGGAGATGAAGTGGGGCTTTACCATCTGATTCTTCAGGGAGCATTGCCAGAGGAGGAGAAGTGGTGTTTCCCCACTTGATCCTTTTGGGAAGATTGCCAGAGGAGAAAAAGTGGGATTTTCCGTCGGGATGGATGCTACAGATGTAGTATCTGTTCCGTGCCGGAGGCTTTCTCCACTCCCTTGCTTTCCCGCCACCTTTCCGTGACATCTGTTACGTAACGTTGGTATTACCGGCTATGATTACCTTAAACAAGTTATGAACACCTTAGACCAACATAGACCAGCGGCCCCAGTGGAAACACTTGGGTTATTACATTAAAAATCGACCTTGTGTTACAAAATGTCTCAGTGATGGGGTTAAGATAAACCTGAGACTTTCAGTTGTCTGGTGAATTGTTGTCAGAGTAATTGAGGAATGAACAGACTTTCCGCTGCCTGGATAATATCCCTGGGGACAATTCAACAATTTATTTTCCCATAAGGATTGAAAAAGTTCCTTCAAAATAATCATGTCGAAAACACAACAGAAATTTCTTTCAATTCTAATATTATGGCTACATGGAAACTGAGTTGCTCTTATCGAAGTTACTAAATTAATTGATGGGAGGACTTGTAAGTTTTCAAATCCAGAGTGTCCATAAAGTTCATGTGCACTTTAAAAAATTTATAACTTTATTTGCATTTGCGATAGAAATAATCTGTAAAAAATGTTATAAAGTTTAATGTACCTAGTTTTAAGTAGAGCTAAAATAACTAACGTGATTTCAAGCATTACTGTAAATCAGTTGGCAAATATTTTCCGTGAACTACAAAATTGTATTACCCTTTGTATTGCTAATGATGGGGGACATGTGGAAACTTAAATAAAATTTCAATAAAACCTTAAAAAATATAGATTTACTTCTTTCTAATCCTTTTTACAAATTATTTCTATCGCAAATACAAATAAAGTTATAAATTTTTTAAAGTGCATACGAACTTTATGGACAACTTGTATATTTATGTTGGAATTAACTTTTGCATTGATTAAAAAAATCCTCTGAGATAAGAATGCATTAAAAATTATTGAAGTTATCTCCCTTTGCCACCATAAAATGTCTGAAGTTTTTTTTTTTTTTCCAAGTCCACCAGGCTTGAGCACATAGTGTTTTTTTCCCGTCGTGGATGTAATGCAGCAGACGTAGTATCTGTTTCTTGCCGGAGGCCTTCTCTTCTCCTTTGCGTTCTCCCGACCGTTGCGTGACATCCGTTACGTAGAGGTGGTATAACCGGGTCTGACTAGCTTAGACGAGCTATGATCAGCTAAGACCAGCTTAGACCAGCGGCCCGAGTATTTCCACTCGGGTCTCTACTTTAAAAGCCTACTTTGTGTCACAACCTGACTTAGTATGAGGTAAATCTCGAGAGTATGCGGGATAGGTTAACCTTAAACTTGAACAGAATAAGATTATAGTGATCGGCGAAGCATTGTCTTGGAAGCGGGTTCTACGAAGCAGCGGTCCGTGGGAAGAAGCTGACAGAGTGGGAGCTACGTCTGACTAACGGGATACGAATGGAACGAGTTGGGTTCGCAACAATGCGTGGGTCTTAGCCTGGAAGGTCAGAACTGGTGAAACGAAGTGTTCGTCTGAACACTTTCCATGGAAATAGCCATAGAGGCGCGCGACTTTTCGTCTGCGGGGAAAGGGTTTGTAGGGTGGAAAATAATCTGAAAAGTGCAATATTTGGCCACTCTTGTCTATATATGGCAGCAGTGCTCCACTTTCGGTCTGATCTGGTTCTTGTGAAGGTAGAGGTGGAGTGAGGTACTTGCTGCAGCGATACAGAAAACCGTCTATTTTCCCCTCCTCTTTAATGATGGATCGTAACTACGAGTTCCACTTGAGATATGGCTGAGTCCCAATAAACGCTAAAGGCACGAGCGAGGCCTCCCTGAAGGAACATCTATTTTTCAACTGAATGTGTAGATTTTTTATATGTGTTTCTAGGGTGGGTGGACATGCCACTACACGTTTATCATGAAGACTCACCTCGCTGACCATAGCTCAAGTAGGACCCATTAAACTTAGAGAGAAACCTACCAAACTCCATCCACAACATACTAGTAAAAAAATACAAGTATAATAGCCAGATCGACATGTAAATAAGGAGTAAAAATAATGGAAGCACTAACAATAAAAAAGAAAAAAAGCGAACACTCAATAACATCAATTATGAACACGGCCACAACATGTTGACCGTGTTTGGAAAAATCACATCATTCTAGAAACATATAAAATCTATACATTCTATTAAAATAAATAAACAAAAAAATCACTTGTACAAACACAAGAAAAATTGAATAAAAAGCTTAGTCGCAGTACCTAGCCAGTCATCTTAAATGAAACATGTATAAGAGAGGGATTGTTGCCCAAGTACCCAATTATATATAACGTTAACGCTAATGGCAGTATACCCGTTTACTGGGGCGGCTGGCTAATCCCTATTGCAGACACATGCTCAGGCGCTTTTTGCGTTTGTTCAACACCCACAGAGCCCACCTGTGGATTATACTGCAACTCTGCTGAGTGGACTTAGTTACAGTTTCTGCGAGAAAAGCGTGTTTTCTAGCATGATCAACAGTATATATATATATATATATATATATATATATATATATATATATATATATATATATATATTAAGAATCTGGAAAGTATTTGCATTTATAAGATACTATTCGGCTTTGTTTGATAGGCGACCCATTCCGTGACTGAGTCTTTCTAGAGCACGTCGGTTCTAACGAAGGCTTCACTTGCAAAGTGTGGCGCACGTCTCGAATACTTGTTAATTAAAGGCAAACATTAATGAATCAAGATTTTTGGCGTAGGTTTATATTCGGCACTGACCCCCAACCAAAAAAAAAAATGTGTATATATTTGAATTAACAACCCATCCTTACCTTTATTTTAATCATTTCCCCACTAAATAAGATAATAAAGCCACTAAGATACAAGGGGGTGACTGAATGTGAAAGAATATGGAGAAAAAGAAAAAAAAACATTATAAAGTAGTGAAAGCAATAGATGAAAAGGAATTATTAACAGTGCTTTCAAAGTTTTGAAGATCAAAGTAGGAAGAAAGAAGCTGGAAGGGAGTTCCACAAGTAAGAAGTGCAAGAGAAGAAACTGTTAGCATAGAACTTACGGTTACATCTAGCCAATTCAACTGTAGAATGACGAAAACTTTGTTCTCAATCTTGTACTGAACTTAAATTCATAAAGTCTCCGTACTGTAGAGGAAAGTAATATTTATTTTGAAAAATGCAATTATGTGGCATAAGGCCAAAAGGCATGATGGGGAATGGCTTCTCTTAAATCTGTCTTTACTGACGCAAACATTCCTCCGTATTCCTTAAGCCAAAACAGCACATTCTTGCTTACCATTCTTACTACAGTCACCATAATACCTCTGAGTCTCTATAAAGTTCTAGTTCGTTCCCATATGTACGATTTCTCTGTGGTGGAAGTGGATAAAAATAAAAACAAAAACGTTTAAAAAAATGAAACTCCAACGTATATTTACAGTGATTACTGTTTTATATTCAAGAATCTAAACACAGCAGAGGAAAATTCATCAGAACAATTACCATGAAAATATTTATCGTCTTAACTTATAAAAGTAACTCTTAATGTTTACTCAACGGCAAGTTGGGCTTCATATTGTCTAAGCCAGTGTTTCTCAACTTTTTTTTCTTGTGGCCTATTTTTGATGTCAAAGAATTTCGGGCCCATATAAGCACAAATAGAAATTCCATGTAACAGGAAATCCATTTTATTCACGAAAGCAAAATGTAGTAGAAAATATAAATCCTGAATAATGACTCCACTGCTGCTGGTGCGTCCTAGGTAAAACGATAAACTACATCTGCGTCCTGGATAAGACAATAAACTACATCCGCGTCCTGGGTATGACGATAAACTACATCCAAGTCCTGGGTAAGACGATAAACTACATCCAAGTCCTGGGTATGACGATAAACTACATCCGCATCTTGGATATAACGATAAACTACATCCACGTCCTGGGTAAGACGATAAACTATATGCACGTCCTGGGTAAGACGTTAAACTACATTGGCATCTTGGGTATGACGATAAACTACATCCGCGCCCTGGGTAATACGAAAACAACATCCGCGTCCTGGGTAAGACGATAAACTACATCCAACAGCAAATCCTCTGATCAGGAGGTTTTGAGGAGCATTGAACCACCTCTTAATTGCTGGTGTTCCTTGGTCCACCCTGACCCGGGGTGGTAGCACCTGTTAGGGTCCCAGCTATGGGCAAGTAGTTAACCCCGAACCTGTGGTAAAAACACTATGAAAGTGTCAAAAAATAGGTTTTAATACCAGAAATACTTCGTAAAAAATTATTACCAGCAATATACTTTTGAAGGAAAAATATTACCAGAAACAAATTTTTGACAAGAACAAAATATTACCAGTAAAATAGCCTATTGATGTTGATATGCCGTAAAACAAACGAAACCAAACCAAAAACCACTGCTGTTGTTAAAATATTTCTCAGGAACACTTTTCGGTCTAAGGGTCCACGTTGAGAATCACTCGTATAAAATTGTCTTAGGTCAAAAGTTCAGTCCATAGTATTCTCAGAATTCTTCAATATTACGAGTTATAATTAAATTTTTTCTCAGACAAAAAATTAATAAAAATATTGGATGAGAAAAAAATTAGTATATTAGTTTAAAAATCTGACAACAAAATGGTTTTGATTTGACCATTCGTGCAGTGTTTTCGAAATCTTTTCTTCCTGCTGCACCATTTTGATCTTCTAGGCCCAACTTCAGGGATGTCCCCTTTCTTTGCATTCTGCAGTAAATATTTTCCTTGTTATTGATTTCTCCTCAAATGCACTGTTTTCGAACCACTTTCAAAATGTATGTTAGTTTTAAAATTTCTGAATTGAAAATCCACAACAAAATGTTAAAGTAAAGTATCTTTTGCGGGTCCATTTTTAAAATGTATCAGGCCCACTTGTAGGAAAAAGGGGCCCATTAGTCCAGATTAGCTTGGCTTGCTATAAGTCATTTCGTTAGAGTCTTCAGAATCTGATTGTTAACACCTCGCCATATCATTCAGTAATATATATATATTGGTGGAGATGTCACATGGGTCACGTGACGAGTCAATACAGTGACGAAAAACGGTAATACACTGCAGTCGGTTTACAGTAGCTGAACCTAGATGTTTATATTCTTTAGCCCCCAGACTACTCTAGGCTAAATCTGCCTCCCCCCAAGCAGCTTGCATGCCCATGGTGGCGTTTCCATTTAGGGATATATCTTTCCCAGATATAGAAAGAAACTCCATCTCGCAGACTTCCATTTGGGAAACCCAAGACTCACTGTTCTTATGTCCTCACCTGGTACATAGATGAATCCGGCCCGTTTGAATCTATAGATCTAAACATGGCTTCTCCAGACACAGGAGTATCTCCATATTATATATAAGACCCTTCCCTTTTGTTTCTCTTTACACTCTGCTTTGCCGTGTAGATATATGTGATATATTATTGTCCGCGAGGAAGATACACACACACACACACACACACACACACATACATATATATATAGATATAATTTTGTGCATATATTATTAGTATTAAAGTCTCTCTGGGAACAAAGCATACTTGTCATTCTACACCCTTTCAGCCATTTCATACCGTCCGTGAACTGCAGTGTTATTATATCACAGATATAATAATGTCCGTAACGGGGGAAATGACAGAGGAGAATGTATCTTACTTCTCTAGCTCTCCCCGGTTACACATATATACACATTCCGTTATTTCTATTATTATTTTTGTCTTTTTAGTCTTTCAGTCAGTTCTTTTATTTATTTACTTATTTATTCATTCAATTATTTTAAACTTCTCTCCCTCTAAATCTGATATCTGTCAGCTTTGGTAAATTCTTTCGCCGCTACATGGCCGACCGATCGGCATTGATTAAAACGGGCCCTCTTCACCGTTGGCTTCCGCAAGCTTTTCTCAATCAACAGTGAAAATCCTACAACGTCCATGTCGAAGGAAACAGAATAATATAAAAGGGAAGAAGTCGAATGTATCGTGTGCTAAGCGTTCGTTCCTCGCCAGATTGTTTAATTTAATCTTCCAACGAGTTCGATTCTCTTAATAGATTTATTTGTTCATGGTTTTTGCTTTCAAGTGTGATTTCGTGTTTTCCAATTTTTCAAAATGCCGTGTCCAATATTTCAAAGAAAATCAACCGTTCATCTTTCTTTCTTTCTTTCTATCGCAGCCTGTTCATATTTATCTATCTATTGATCGATCGCAGACTGATATATATATATATATATATATATATATATATATATATATATATATATATATATATATCAGTCTGTTTACATCTATCTATCTATCTATCTATCTATCTATCTATCTATCTATCTATCTCAGCCTGTTCACTATCTATCTATCTATCTATCTCAGTCTGTTCACATCTATCTATCTATTGATCGATCGATCGCAGTCTGTTCATCTATCTATCTATCTATCTATCTATCTATCTATCTATCTATCTATCTATCTATCGCCGTCTGTTCACATCTATCTATCTATCTATCTATCTATCTATCTATCTATCTATCTATCTCAGCCTGTTCACTATCTATCTATCTATCTATCTATCTATCTATCTATCTATCTATCTATCTCAGTCTGTTCGCATCTATCTATTTATTGATCGATCGATCGCAGCCTGTTCATATCTATCTATCTATCTATCTATCTATCTATCTATCTATCTATCTATCTCAGTCTGTTCACATCTATCTATTTATCTATTTATCTATCTCTTTCAAAGAAACAGCAGGCCGTCTGCAATTGAGAAAAAGGAAGAAAAAAGAGATAGGTTCGTATACACAAAGAATGGTGTGATTTTTCGATTTTTTTCGTAAACCATGAGATAAACAAACTCAAGAATGCAGTGACTCTTTTTTTTGTACTTGTAAAATTTTCCCAGAGATTTTATAGCCTTATTTTTGGTAGCATATCTTTCAAGTTTATACATTCTTTAAATGACAGGTCCTAGAAATGGAAAAAATACACAGGGCATCCACAAAGACTTAAAAAAAATTCAAAAAGCTAATCCAAAAAATCTAGAAGAGGTGGCAACTAAACTTCTGTTATGGCAAACAAGCACTTCAATCGATTTTAATATCTTTGTGAACATCTATCTATCTATCTATCTATCTATCTATCTATCTATCTATCTATCATCTATCTATCTATCAGCTTATCTCTCTCTCTCTCTCTCTATCTATGCCTTTCATATCTTTCTATCTATCTATCTATCTATCTATCTATCTATGCCTTTCATATCTATCTATCTATCTATCTATCTATGCCTTTCATATCTATCTATCTATCTATCTATCTATCTATCTATCTATCTATCTATCTATCTATCTATCTATCTCTCAGCTTATCTCTCTCTCTCTCTCCATCTATCTATCTATCTGAGCCTATCTATATATATATATAGAGAGAGAGAATTAAAAAAAATCATTACAAAATAATGGAAGTTTTGTTGCATATTAATATGTTAATATGAAAGTTCTCCTAATGAAATTCACTAACATTCACTACCATATAGGAGGAGTGATTTCTTAACAGTATATCAACACTTCATGGGTCATTAAATGCCGAAATTTGATTTTATTGGGAGCTTTAAGTTATATATATATATATATATATATATATATATATATATAATTGATTTAAAATATGTTTTTTCCGCTACACAGTTCTAACCATGTTTCAAAAATGGAAGCTAAAAGCTTAGAATTTAATTTTGTAATTAAATTAAAGACCTTTGTTCCATTTCATCCTCAAGCGAATTTTGGAGTAGCTTTTATATTTTAAATCAATTAATTTATAATATCAATGCTCTGTAAATTTGAATTGAGCACTATTTTGTAAAAATAAAAATATCTATAAGAACACCGGATTATAAATCTTACTGTTCTTTCTTTCTTTATATATATATATATATATATATATATATATATATTGATATCACTACTAGAGGCGGTGATATGTGTGTTTTATGTTGTTTTATTGAAGTTGTATTTTGGAATGCAGTTTGATTTTTTAAGAAATTATTGGATATTATATGAGCTTATGTCATGAAAGAGTTCTTTAATGTTGTTGTTTTTTTGTTGGTTGGTCGTTTTGAGGCACATCAACACCTCTATAGGTTATTTAATGCCGAAATCTAAATATTCTGAACACAATTTTATGGCTTCAACTAAATAAATTTTAAACGCAATTGTATGCCTTCAACTAAAGATAAAATGTATTGTTGGTCATTTTGTTTAGCGGCATATCAACATCTCTATGGGTTATTTAATGCCGAAATCTAAATATTTTTAACACAATTTTATGGCTTCAAGTAAATATATTTTGAACGCATTTGTATGCCTTTAAATATAGATAAAATGTATTGTTGGTCATTGTGTTTAGCGGCATACCATTTTGATTTTGAATGATTCAATGCGGAAATGATTTTTCCCAGTTTGTACGTATACAGTAAGACAACTCGACATTGTTTCATTGTAATCATTTTCATTGGGTTTATGAATAACAATATATTGAAAGAAAAAGAGTCATAAATAAATGAGCAATATGAGCTCTGGTAAAAACATGGAATGATAACAGCAAAATTGCAATATAAGCACTGGTAAAAATGGTTGCTGAAGGTTTATAATACCCAGAAATTCATACCCAGATGTCCTTAAGGACACATGGCACAGTGGATAAAGGCGTTGGTTAGATCCAGTGACAGGCCCCAAACAGTGTGAGTTCAATACCCGGTTAAGGCAGTGGAGAACTTTCAGAGGGAAAATTAACAGGAGATAACTGACATTTATTAAACTAGAACAGTCTACCCCCAGTGAGCGAAATAAAGGGTTCAATTCGACATTCACCTGAAAAAGGCCGGAGCGTACAACGGCCGAAACATCGTGGTAAATAATGTACATGGTACCTCATCTCAGAAATATATTCAGACTCAGTCAGGAATAAGTTAAGATTTTTTTTTTAAATACTAGGAATGTTACTTCGTTAGACGATCGGATCAACAACCAACAAAAAAATATACGTCATTTCATGTGTGACAACCTAAAATTTTACCTCAGTCTGTTCATCTTAGTATATGTATCTATCTAGCTCAGTCTGTTTATATATGTATATGCATAAAAATCGCCAAGAATTGTGTCCATGGTTATTAAGCATTAACTTAGATGGGCTAGTCACCTTGTCCGTCTAGAAGACTCACGCATGCCTAAACAGGTTACGTGTAGGGAGTTATCACAGGGAGAACGACATCAGTGTAAGCCCAGCAAGCGCTACAAAGACAATCTGAAGGACACACACAAAACGACACGGATAGGTTTAGACAGCGGGGAAGAACAGCAAAAAAAAAAAAAAATCCGATTTTTATTGGTGTCAAGAGTTTTGAGAACAGCAGGAGAGAATATACACAACCAAAATATGCAGGCGGATATATTTGAGGCGTCAAACCTATCCCAGAATGCGAATCGAAAGAGTATCTTGCGTGTGATCAATGTGGCCGCTTTTGCTTTACAAATGCAGGTCTCACTCGGCCACATGCAAAAACACCATGATACCAACTACCAATATATTAGGTTTGTGCAAAAATAATGACGTAATAATGTCGTTTTTCGACGTATTTTTTAACGTCAAAAAACGACATTATTACGTCATTATTTTTGCACAAACCTAATAAAATACCAACTACCAATATAAAATACCAACATTCATAATCTGGCTTTTATCTTCAAAGTCCATTCAAGAACCATCGAGAGAATGGTGAATAAGTTTAAAAAGAGAGGGAACAGTAGAGATGAAAACTGAATCAGGAGGTCACAAAAAGAGGGATCATCATTTCAACTAAGAGCTAAATACATTGTTATTGTTCAAAGTAGAGTCCAATAATGTTATAAAAACCTCGGAGTATTCCAGTAAGATATCTTTAATCATTACTAAGATACAACGGTTCAAAGCTTAATCTAACAATTGGACAATTTTGCTGTTACTCTCGGTAGATATAGACCCAGTAAACAGACCCGGTAGATATAGACCCGGTAGATATAGACCCGGTAGATATAGACCCGGTAGATACAGGCTCGGTAGATACAGACCCGGTAGATATAGACCCGGTAGATATAGACCCGGTAAATACAGACCCGATAGATACAGACCTGGTAGATACAGGCCCGGTAGAGATAGACCCGGTAGATATATACCCGGTAGTTTAGACCCGGTAGATATAGACCCGTTAGATACAGACCCGGTAGATACAGACCCGGTAGATATAGACCCGGTAGATATAGACCCGGTAGTTTAGACCCGGTAGATATAGACCCGGTAGATACAGACCCGGTAGATATAGACCTGATAGATACAGACCCGGTAGATACAGACCCGTTAGATATAAACCTGGCAGTTTAGACCCGGTAGATACAGACCCGCTAGATATAGACCTGATAGATACAGACCCGGTAGATACAGACCCGTTAGATATAGATCCGGTAGTTTAGACCCGGTAGATATAGACCCGGTAGATATAGACACCTGGGAAGAACTTGCATCAGGTCGCCAAACATCAGAAAATCTGGTTGTTATTTGGTGTCAAGAATTTTAAGAACAGCAGCAGAGAATATGAGCGGCGTCGGCCCTCTCCCAAAACGCGGATCGAAGGAGTCTCTTGCATGTGATCGATGTGACTGCATATGCGTTTCAAAAGCAGGTCTTCTCATCCACACGCGGAGTCTTCGGGATGCCAACTACCAATATCACATCTCCGATGTTCACACACGGACAATCTGCCATAACGTGAGTCGATCAACCAGCGGACTCACACGACATTACCACTACCAAAATTCAGAAAGGTAAGCAGCAGCAGCAGGAAGAAAGACATTTCGGCAATAATATAAGAACTGAAGGAAGCTTACAGGTCTCAAAAGCTATTTGAGATATAAACAGCGACGAAGTGAAGATATTTAGGATGTGTGAAAATAATAAAAAAAAAAGATTCGAGTGCAAGTGATGGACTTACTCGGTCATGAGTTGACTTCCACTATGTATGTATGTATCACTCTCTCTTTTCTCTCTCTCTCCATCGATATATATATATATATATATATATATATATATATATATATATATATATATATATATATATATATATATATATATATATATATATATATTATTTTTATTCAACATCATCACTTGATAAGACACCGAGGGGTTGAATCAAAATGGCTATTTTTGTAGTGATTTTATAACATATTTATGTTATAAATTTTTTAAAATAAATAATTATATCTGCTCTACTTTGTATTGAGCACTCTTTTAAGAACAGTATTTGTTGGTTATTGGAATTCATTCCATATATACCAATCATATATATTGATATATATATATATATATATATATATATATATATATATATATATATATATATATATCGTATTCTGTTTATTCTATCAATCTTTGTTCATATCTATCTCATTCGTATATCTATCTATATGAGTTCACATCTATCTATCTATCTATCTATCTATCTATGATCAATCTATCTATCTAGTTATTTCATTCTCTTTTCTATCTATCTATCTATCTATCTATCTATCTATCTATCTATGTTCATTTCTATCTATGATCATTTATAGCTATCTCGTTATTTCATTCTCTTTCTTTCTTTCTATCTATCTATCTATATATATATATATATATCTATCTCATTTTGTTCAATATCTATCCGTCCAAATCTATTTACATATCTGTGTGTGTATATATATATATATATATATATATATATATATATATATACTTCAGTCTGTGCATTATCTATCGACATATCTATTTCAGTTTGTTCACATATATCTAAATCTGTTAACATCTAAATCTGTTCACTATCTATCTATCTATCTATCTATCTATCTATCTAAATCTGTCCACGGCTACCTTTCTACGAATGTCAGTCTGTTCATTATCTATCTACCTGTTTATCTATCGAAATCTGTTCACATCTATCCGTCTAAGTTTGTTCATATCTATCTATCTATCTATCTATCTATCTATCTATCTATCTCATTCTTTTCATGCCTATCTATCTCATTCTGTTCATATCTATTTATCTATCTATCTATCTATCTATCTATCTATTTTTGCACCAGCAACATCCAGTACGCTGTTATACATATGCCTGTTTCTTATCTATCTCAATTGACAATCAAAGAGATTTAACACCGAAACAGCACTTTCAATTTTCTACACATAACCTCGCCTGTACTTTACGACCCAGCCATAAAGGAGAATAACCCAAACAAACAGACCTCGGCTCAAAACACAATACTTTGTCGATTTCTACCTCTTTGTTTCTCTCTAGATACATCTAAAGACAATATCTTTTCGTTTGAATCTTTTAAAATTCTTCTTTTCCTTTATTCATGAGTGAATTCTTTTGTGCCAGGCGAGTTGTCGGCAAAAAGAGTTGAATGGTAATAACACGAAGTGCTAAATCATTGCAAGTCTTACAGAGAAGAACAGGAAACGAAAGAAAACAAAGTGAAGCATGCCGGGAAGGAATTTTAGTTTCTCAGTTACGGTGTTCAAAGTTGGAGTGTAAAGAAGTTATTCATTGATGGGAAAGTGAATAGCAGTAGTAATAATGATAATAATAATAATGATAATAATAATGAGAAGAAGAAGAAGAAGAAGAAAGCGAAGAAGAAAGAGAAAAAGAAGGGCAGAAAGAAGAAGAAGAAGAAAAATGAGAAAGAGAAGAGGCCGAAAAAGATTATGAAGAGGAAGATAAAGAAGGTAGAGAAAAAGATGATGAAGACAAAAAAGCCAAGAAGAAGGAGAAATAGAAGAAGAAGAAGAAGAAGAAGAAGAAAAGAACAACAACAGCGAGTAAGAGAAGAAGAATGAGAAAGAGAAGCAGCAAGAATGAAAGAAAGAAATAAAAAGGAGAAAGTAAAAAGAAAAAAGAGACAGAGAAGAAGAAGAAGAAGAAGAAGAAGAAGAAGAAGAAGAAGAAGAAGAAGAAGAAGTAAGAGGAGGAGGAGGAAAAGAAGAAGAACAGGAGGAGGAGGAGGGAGAGCAAGAAGAAGAAGAAGAAGAGGAAGAAGAGGAGGAGGAGGAAGAAGAAGAAGAAGAAGAAGAAAGATCGACAACAAGTAGAAGAGGGCACAGAGAAGATCTAACAAGTATAGGAGTAAAGTAAAAAGAAGAAGAGAAAGAGAAAAAAATGAAAAAAAAGAGGTAGAAGAGGAAAAATGAAGGAGAAGAGGGAAAATAAAAAAAGAAGAAGAAGACCTCTGGAAAAGGAAAAGAAAATTAAATAAATAAAACAAAGGAAAAGAAAAAATTTAAGGAGGAAGTAACAAGAAGAAGATGGAGAAAAAAAAAAAATTTTTTTTACGAAAATAACGAGATAAAGAAAACTGATGAAGGTGAAATGAGTGAAAGAAAAGAGGAAAGAGAGGCGGACGGATTCGGCTTTCTTAAATTTAAGTCCGCTAAATATTCGCCTATTCGGTCCAAACATCTGTAATGATTTTTTCTTTTTTCAAAAATAACAATTTTAAAATTGGAATTGTAAAACCCCAAAAACAATCCAAAAAGATTCCGCTTAATTGTGACGAAAATATATGAAGAGCCATTATCCCTCATATCATGAATGGGCAAAGCAAATAAAAGAAATGAATGAACGACGGAACAGGGACAAAGAGAGATAGTAAAGAGTTAAACATGACAACAAAAGACAAGAAGATGTGGAGAGTCATGATCGACCACTTCATGAAAGAATATAGCATATAAAAAAATTGAATGGATGACAGTACAAGAACAAAGATGGATAGTAAAGAGTTAAACATTAATTAGAGCAATAAAAGACGGGAAGATGTGGAGAGTCATGATCAACCTCTTCATGAAAGAATATAGCATGTAAAGAATTGAATGGATGACAGTACAAGAACAAAGATGGATAGTGGAGTTAAACATTACTTAGAGTAACAAAAACAGGAAGTTGTGGAGAGTCATGATCGACCACTTCATGAAAGAATATAGCATATAAAAGATGTGAAGTGATGATAGTACAAGAACAAAGATGGGTAGTAATAAGTTAAACATTACTTAGAGTAACAAAAGACGGGAAGATGTGGAGAGTCATGATCGACCTCTTCATGAAATAATATAGCATATAAAAGAAGAAATTTCCCTAAAGTTCCAGATTTGTCTCCTCAAATCGTATATTCTCCTAAAATATCATAAACTCAACATTATATACGTTTCCAAATGCTAAACGAGGTTTTTAATGATTAACATTTATATATATATATATATATATATATATATATATATATATATATATAATATATATATACTACAATTTTGGCCTGATTGTAATGATTTGAAGAGTCAATATTCATTTTCTTTTTCTGAACATTTTCAAATGAAATCTTTCAAATCATTGCCCGCGACTCTTAGTTTTAATATTTAGGTTATTCTCAGCAATTCTTCGAAGGTTATCATAAATCTTGAAAAAGAATATTTTTTTTTTTTTTGCATTTTAAAACGTGAATGGTATACCCAGAAAGAAAGAAAGCTTTCCAAGAATTCATCTAAAACTGTTTTTACATTAATTAACGCAGAATTGAAATTTGCAGCATTATGTATACCATTAACGCAAAGAATCCAGATTAATATTGTATTTAAAATGTAAATGCAAGAATCTGCAAAGATCAAGAGAAAACTTGACAAATTAAATATGTCTGCATAGGACTTCTTTCTAATTTCGCCCACTTTCTTTAAGTCCGTATAACGATATTTATTTTTAGTTGCCATACAAGTTTGTCATGGTTCTTGCTGGTCATAGATAACCTTCGGGTTGTTGAAAATCTACTTCGCAGTCTTTTGGTGTATTTAAACACACCGTTTTCACATTCATTCGGTGGGCAAATAAATTAGGTTGAAACGCTAATTGCATTAAAGTCCGGTTGATTTGCAGTTTAGGAACCACGCATTAAAATTTTCCAGAATTCTTACATTTATATTTAATTGTAAAAATTCGAATCTGGCTTTAAAAATTTTAAAAAAATCTATTTTGGAAAATCGACAGTGAAACTTCAATTCGTTTGCGTCGCGGGCAGCCATTGCTGGCGTTGTTGGCATACATTCGCTGCAGAATAACTCTTTTTTTCTATCATTGCGCAAACTAAGCGTGTCTATGTAAAATAATAGTTCTCGTTATATAAATATAATGGATTATGACATTTAGACAAGAAAGATCAGTTCCGCGTTTAGCTTCCCGCAGCGGATATATGAAAACAACGACAGTGATGGCCGACGCGAAATGAATACGAATTTTCTTTGTCGATAACTCCAAAATATTGTATAATTCGAATGGGGCATGTATAGTTACATACAAATATAAGTATTCAGGAATTTTTTAAGGCGAACTGAACGCGGGTGTTACACTGCAAATTAACCTAAAGTCCTTACAGACGATAAACGAAATGTAATTGGGGGTAAAACAGTCGTAATAATCTATTCTAGGTTCTTAGGCTTTTTGGAACAAATCCAGCTTTGAATTGTCCGTTACTAATGTCATTAGTTTTAATAGTATAGACCCAACGACAAGCCTACAACAGTTTTACCAGGTGAAAGCTTATATCCCATTCATATGTATTGTTCGTTTTTTACAATTATTTCTTTTTTTTAATGATACCTTGCCGTTTTTATAAATTTAATATTATTGTTGAGTAAAAAATGTCGTTTTTGACGTTCAACTTTTAAATCAAAAAACGACATTTTTTTTTTGAATAAACAAACAATAATAATAATGTTTCTTTTTGAAACAACAATAATCTTTTATCGGATTTAAAAAAAAATCCAAATTCCTTAACGTAATCTTTTTAAATATTTAAGCCATTTTCGTAAAATGCTTGGATATCGTCTGTCGGGTATTACTGTATTAGGATTATCTCCCCTTTATCGCTTGGACTTGTGAAGTTTCGCTTTCTTGTTTCCCCTCCCACAATTTTTTTTCTGCAGATAGTTGGAAAATATTGTATTTTTTCTTCAACCGGAATTTTAAAAGAAAAATTTAAATTAGATTTTCAAAGTTTTATTTTTTTACAAAAATGAAAGGACTTTTTTTACTTTGACATCAAATATATATTGAAATAGGCAGGACTTGATTTATTGTAATCTGTCTATGAAAAATGGTTTTTCAATGCTCAAAATAAAAAAAATTTTTTAAAAATTTGTATGAAGAAATTAAACAAACTGTGTTTTATATAACCATGGAATAGATTGGCGAGTTTAGATTTGCGTTCCCGTGTAAAATTTCATTCATGACGGTCGTCTTCGAGTTTTAGAAATCCAGAGGTTATTGTGAATATTTCTAGTAGGAAAGCGTAGTTCAGGTTAGCAGTGGATATCGTAGCAGATCGTAGTACTTCCTTCTGTCGTCTTCGCGCCTGACAAGCTGGCACTGGTCATTCGGGTAAGTAAAAAAAAATGGCCGCCTTTATAAATTCACGACGGATACAATGTTCTGCGGCTTCTGAATTGGTTGACCTTCTATTGGTGGACTATAAAGCGATTGAAGGCATTTGTCACTAACTCAAAGTTATATATAGTCATAAATATACACAAAAAATAATGTAACAATAATGAACATTTCGAAGGTTGTTTTTTTTTTTTTTCTTGGACTTTACACCGATTTCTAATATTGATTTTTTTTGCGTACAAAGCAAAAACGTCATCTGTTCAAATGGCACCTTTGAGGACCGAACTCACTACAATGCTCGTAATTTTTTTAATAGATATTTTAACAGAATTAGCCATTCAAATCTTATTAAAATTTTTATTTTAAAATTAGTTTTAATGCATTAATTTCTTTATATTAATTATAAATTATTGTATATATATATATATATATATATATGATGAAATATTTTTTTCTTTTAATTTAATTTTCCTTTTGTGTCGATAAAAAAAATATGGCTGATTCGGATTTTTTCTGGTTTAGATTTTTACATCATAATTTTGTCGTTAACTATTTTTATTAAACGTCTGGTTATTTATGAACTAACTACTTTTCTCAATCTAATCTACCTGGGTTCATAATGAATTTGATCTCTTTAGATGAAATCAGTCGGTCAAATGATCGTAGTGACAGCCGAATTCATCAAAATTTATTTCACCGCAAATTATATGTAAAAAGAAAATAAAGT